CCGAAGGGGTCCTGGGGCCGAAGCCAGCCGAAGGATCGGCCGAAGCTATGGCCAGATCCTTCGGCAGCTTTGTGAATAGACCCCTGTGTCCATGGGACTGGAGTGAAGGTAATTTATCTCACTGAGGAACAGAAGGCAAAAAATACAGGGGTTTTAATTATACCCTACTCTTTAAAAACTAAAATAAAGTTTAGATTTTAGATATACATAAATTAAAAATTATTTGAAATATTTAATTTGAATGCCTTGGACTTTCTTATGCACAAATAATACAATGGTATCTCTTAATCTTTATGTCTAAACAAATACTACATAGGTACCAAACCAGTAGTGACATCACATTTAACAATCTGCCCCACATTTTCAATGCTTATTCCAGGGAATTCCTCAGCTTGGCACTCAATCTTTTGTGGATGTTTGCATATTTGTTTGCCTTTAGCCATTATATTCTCATATGTCTCCTTGTCTCCCCCATCTAAGCCAGAACTTGGGGTATCAACATCGATCCATGATGTCCACTTACATTGGGGCTGACAGGGAGTAGATTCCTGTATTGTAGTGGTAGTTGGTTTTATGGTTGAGGTTACAGAGGAAGTGGTTGTAGTTTCTGTTGTTGTTGTTTTTTGAGTAGTAGTTGGTTCTGTGGTTGTGGTTACAGTGGTAGTGGGTGTAGATTCTGTTGTTGTTGGTTTTGGAGTAGTAGTTGGTTCTGTGGTTGTGGTTACAGTGGTAGTGGGTGTAGATTCTGTTGTTGTTGGTTTTGGAGTAGTAGTTGGTTCTGTGGTTGTGGTTACAGTGGTAGTGGGTGTAGATTCTGTTGTTGTCGGTACTGGAGAAGAAGTTGATTTTGTAGTTGTGGTTACAGTGGTAGTGGGTGTAGTTTCTGTTGTTGTTAGTTTTGTAGTAGTAGTTGGTTCTGTTGTTGTTGTTACAGTGGTAGTGGGTGTAGTTTCTGTTGTTGTTGTTGGTTTTGTAGTAGTAGTTGGTTCTGTTGTTGTGGTTACAGTGGTAGTGGGTGTAGTTTCTGTTGTTGTTAGTTTTGGAGTAGTAGTTGGTTCTGTGGTTGTGGTTACAGTGGTAATAGGTGTAGTTTCTGTTGTTGTTGATTTTGGAGTAGTAGTCGATTCTGTGGTTGTGGTTACAGTGGTAGTGGGTGTAGTTTCTGTTGTTGTTGGTTTTGGAGTAGTTGGTTCAGTGGTTGTGGTTACAGTAGTAGTGGTTGTAGTTGATGTACTGGTTGGTGGCACATGGGTGGTACTACAATGACTATAATCATCACAGCATAAGACCTTTATCTGGTAGTTGTAGCACTGTTTGACTTCTCCAATTTGGTCTTTGTTATTACAAACCAAGCCAATTGTGATATCACATTTAACAATCTGTCCCACATTTTCAATGCTTATACCAGGGTAATCTGAAGCTCTGCACTCAATATGCTGAGGATATTTACAGATATGTTTGCCTTTAGCCATTATATTTTCAAATGTTTCCTTGTCTCCTCCATCTAATCCAGAAGTTGGAGTATCAACATCAATCCAAGCTGTCCATTTACACTGGGGTTGACAGGAGTTGGTTGTGGTGAGCTTAAGAGGCTCTGTTGAAGGCTTTGATGTTGACACTGTCTTGATATTTACAGGTACAGTTGTGGTCTCAGTATTTTCTGTTGTTTTAGTTGTTGTGGGGATAGTGGTTGAAGCTGTTGTAGATGAAGTTGTAAGGGGGGTAGTAGTTTCTGGTGTAGTTGTGGTGATGATAGTAGTTGTTTCAGTTGTTTTTGCTGGAGTTGTGGTTGTTTCTATAGATGTAGATGTTGTTGTTTCTGTTGTTGTTGGAACTGTAGTTATTTGAGTTGTAACAATAACTGGAGTTGTTGTTTCTGTAGTTGTAGATGTTGTTGTTTCTGTTGTTGGTGGAGCTGTAGTTGTTTGAGTTGTAACAATAACTGGAGTTGTTGTTGTTTCTGTAGTTGTAGATGTTGTTATCTCTGTTGTTGTTGGAGCTGTAGTTGTTTGAGTTGTAACAATAACTGGAGTTGTCGTTTCTGTAGTTGTAGATGTTGTTGTTGGAACTGTAGTTGTTTGAGTTGTAACAATAACTGGAGTTGTTGTTTCTGTAGTTGTAGATGTTGTTGTCTCTGTTGTTGTGGGTACTGTAGTTGTTTCAGTTGTTGTAACAATAATTGTAGTTGGCGTTGTTTCTGTAGTTGTAGATGTTGTTGTCTCTGTTGTTGTTTCAGTTGTAACAATATTTGGAGTTGTTGTCTTTACTGGAGTTGTCTCAGTTGTTGTCTCTGTTGTTGTGGGTACTGTAGTTGTTTCAGTTGTTGTAACAATAATTGTAGTTGGCGTTGTTTCTGTAGTTGTAGATGTTGTTGTCTCTGTTGTTGTGGGTACTGTAGTTGTTTCAGTTGTTGTAGAATGCATGGTTGTTTCTGGAGATGCTGTAGTCAGCTTTGTTGTTGTTGTCTGTGTTGGTGGTGTTGTCTGGTTTACACAACGACTGTAATCATCACAACAGAGCACTTTAATTTGGTAATTCAAGCAAACTTCAAAATCTCCATCTTGCTCTTCATTGTGACAGACAAGACCAATAGTAACATTGCATTGAACAACTTGCCCAATTCTACCGATCGGCACTTGAGGGAATTTTTCTGCTCTACATTGAATGCCATCTGGTTTTCTGCATATTTTATGTCCTGCTGCTTGGATGCTTTCATACGTCTCAAAATCTCCCTCATTTTTACCTACACCTGGTATGTGGACATCAATCCATGGTGTCCATGTACATTTGGGTTGACAAACTGTTGAAATAGTGGTTGGCTCTGTTGTTGTGGATGGAGTTGAAGTGATCTCTGGGGTTGTAGCTGATGTTGTTGTTGAATGTGTTGTTGTTTTCGTTGTTGGCTGTGTTGTAGTGGGTGTTGTGATTATAGTTTTAGGGGATTCTGTAGGTATTATAGATGTAGATGGTGTTACACATGGTACAAAACCGCAGCATTTTACTCTGATCTCATAGTTGTAGCAAATCGGTGGTAGTTGCTCCTTATTCCAACAAATCAGTCCAAATGATACATTACAGTGTACATTTTGCTCAAGCTCTGAAAGCGGCACATTAGGAAACCTCTCGGCTCTGCATTCAATGTCTTTAGGATGGCTGCAGATAGAGTATCCTTTAGCTTTTATATTTTCATACGTGTCAAAATCGCCATTTTCCATTCCAAAATGAGGATAACTGGCATCAATCCACTCAGACCACTTGCACTCTTCTTTGACACAGAGAGTGCTCTGAGTTATTGTTGTTCCTAAGTAACAGACATAATGAAAGTTAACTTATGTGTTCGGAAAATGAAAATTATGTATACTAAAGGAGAGCGCCCGCTAACAGAGAATGTAGTAGGGCTGTAGTCAGGGGCAAAAGTTCAATTCTGACTTCCTGCTATTTCCCTGCAGCAGCCTATATGTAGCTGTATGTGTGTCAGAAATGTTTTTACATTATGTGTCAGTCATTTATGAACAGAACCTGAAAACTAGCTCAGTCATGAAGGGGTTAACTGAAAAATCTTTAACTGACAGATATGTCAAGGGAGTCACTGCTTAATACCCAGTGGAAGAAGTGCTAAGTAAAAACCTTTTACATGTCTCCAAAACTAAAGTAGGGCACACAAAGGCTATGAATAAGTTGTAATTTCTTTAAACTCTGAGCCTCCTTTAGGGTGAATTCACACCTTTGACCCCCCCTTTATGTGTTTTTCATTGAAATAAATGGAAACACACTGAAATGCATGATACTGTCAATAAGTGGTAATGTTCATTGTCATGCATTTCAAACATGCATTGCAATGCACTTGTATTAAATGTCAAAGCGCATCATAACACATGCATTGACATGCATTTGATGCATTTCCATTGATTTTAATGGAAAATGCATTTAAGGATAACTATGAGTTGAGTGATTTCCACTCATAGTTAGAGATGACCTGTGACAAAGAAGCTGTCATGGTTAGCTCTATTGATCCGGAAGTGAGCAGAAACATGCACCGATCCGCTCACTCCCCGATCGTCTCCCAGCAGTAAGTGGTGACTATTAGTCACCGGTCCCCGCAGGGATTCCCCCCTCCCCTCTCCTATCCTCCAGCGCTGAGTGGAGGAACGAAAGGGGAAGGGGGCGGGTACAGCTGGCTCTTCCTCTAGATAGGCAGAGCCAGATGTCACTCACGCAGCTGGGTGGATCTCAACAGTATTGTCAGGATACGTCCTGACTACAGGGCTCTTAGTATATCGCGGGCAGCTGAGCTTTGGGTCATGCAAACAGCAATTTTACGGCCCAGTTTACACAGGCACGAAAAGCGAAAACCCATTATGCTTTGTCTGACCTCTGAACTATGGTCAAGTGAAAAATTAAGACCAATAATCGGGCTTGGAAAATGTGCCAGCCCCCTTCATATAAAAGTCAGTTCTCCTATTATCTTTTTTTGTCAGTGTGTGTTGGAGTTGGTGAGGGACAGCTGATGACTTTGTGAGGGAGAGAGTTTGTGCTACTTGTACAGTGCTAGTAGTACACACACTGTTGCTGTACACTTCACTGCATATAATCACCACATTGTCAAATGTAACAAAGCAGCACATCTTCAATCCCCCTATTGTCATAGCTGCTAATAAAATTAATGTCACCACGAATGGTTGGAAACATTGGTCTTTTCCCATGACACCCTCAAAGTCACAAAAATGCATTGGTGCATGTGTCCCAGGGCAGTGTCCAGCTACCCATTCCCCTTGGTGGACAATCCCTTGCCTATTAGCTTTGAAAATGGAGAGAATTTATTTTCTAGATTGGCCTCTTGTTTACTAAAATAGGGTTCCCATTAAAGCTCTCAAATAGTGAACTTTGTGGTGCATTCACTAAACACACCAAGTTTTCCCATAACTAGCTGTGAACCTTGAAAATGATTTTCCCCACAATGCTTATAGATACAGAGAAAAAACAAGGTATTGTTTTAGAGTACTTTCACTGCTTGTTCAAGATATGTAAATACTTTAGTGTTCAGGATCTGGCCCCAGGTTAACTTTAATACTAACAGAGAAAAAGCATGAGGGAAACCTTTTATTGGCCATTGTGCAAGGTCTCTGCTTGAAAAAGTAAGTGTTGAGACTGTCTTTGCTGTCTTTGTGCCCTATAAGGCCCTAAACAAGAAATTGCTTGATTATACTACAACTTCTGATTAATCACACCCTTCCATTGAATGAGCTAAAAATTGCAACAATTTCTTTTCATGTTATCTGGAGCATTTTCTACTGTCATTTAATTAACCGACTAAAAATTGTTTATGAGCTTGCAGCTGTTGCCTGTTAAGTGATCTTATGAAGGTAGCTAATTGACTTGCTTCTTGCCCTGTTTTATTGAATAAGGTTCTCTATGTTGGGATTTGCATTCACCCTTAATATACAGTAGTTAGTAGTTACTAGGTATGTATGCATAACCCAATGACTGGAACCTACCTGAAGTAGTAGCTGGATGTGTTGTGGTAAAGGTAAATGGAGTTGTTGTTGTTATTGGTGTACTACACATAATAATATCTCTATATATTGTGCCATTTTCTTTGCAGATAGCAGTGATGCAGCCTCCAATTCCATCCGTAGTGTTATAAATCACATCATTGTAATGATACATTTTGCCCTGGTACTCACAGAGGCATGCTGTTCAGATACAAAACAATATATTAAATGCAGAAATACAAATAAAACCAGCATTCATGCAACTGACATTAATGTGAAAACACTGCTTCATGAACATAGTAAATAATATATAATAATGTGCTGCAGGAATGCATGAAAAAGCATTACTGCAACTCACACGAATGTGCATACCACAGGCCAGTCCTGATCATTGTAAATGGCATCACCTAAAACACTAGTACAATAGCAATCAAAGTATGCGCACTGCAAAATACACACAGCAATTTGCAGTGTAGTGTGGGGTGCGGCATTGAAAAAAAATGAGTCATGTCCATTTTTTACTGTGTTGTGGTGCATTGGCAGCCAGTTCATAATTAATAGCCTTAATGCAATGCAAGTTAATGTGCAACACACCAGGGACATGGTCAGTGGTCAGGGGAGGCAGGTGTAGCACCTAGTATTATGGAAGAAAAAGCTGTCAGTTTCAATTTTGAAGCTGACAGCTTTTTCTCCATTCAGACCGGCTTCTAACAGGTTACACAGCAGAGAAAGCCGCCCTGCTGTGTAACATGTCATGGGCGGAGCGTTGCCTGTTAATTACAGGCGGTGCTTCATCCGGCTTTTGGCAGCTATGTTAGGTTGCACAGCAGTGAGGATCCCCACTGTTTTGTGTAATCTAACATAGTGAAGTCAGAGCTGCAACAGCGTTTGTGTTAGAGGCTTGAGCTCTGTGGATTGTTTGGACCAATGGCAGAGCGCCATTGATCCAAGCTGTCCAATCAAAAAAAAAAAAAAAAAAAAAAAAAAAAAAAAAAAACCCACTGAGGACATCGATCTCGATGCCTCCCCAGTGACAAGCAAGTGAGGGGCAGGGAGGCTCCTCCCTGTCTCCTCCCTTCTCCCTCCTTCACACATAGCTCGGTGACCGGGGTGGGGGCAGGGCTGGGGCACATCAGGGGTGGGATGGTGGTGTGCATGTGGGTGGGGCAAGGGCAGCAGGGGGTTTGCATCACCTAGCATTGACCTTACTGCACAGCACTGCAACACAGCGTGTATTAACATGTGATCATTTACTGCAACACATGGATCAAGCACAGATCGTGGTTGATCAGCTTCGTACCTGGCTGCTGTGGTCGGGGAATGAAATCTCAAAACCTGGAACTGGCAAACTCATAATTGTTTCCCGGTTCATTCACAGGAGGGGAGGTTACTGAATTGAAATTCGCTAGACTCCCTTCCCTCTAGGTGCTGACATGCACAATGCTGGTCCCAGGCTCACAAGAGCAGTAGCGAAGCCATCGATACATGGTGGGGGAGGGAGTTGTCCGGAGAACAGGATGATTTTGAATCCTATGCGCGTGATCGAGTGGCTGTGCAATACAATTACTTCTAACACAAAGAGTGTATATAAAAGCCTGTGCTGTTGCCAACGTAAGTTGATGGCAGCATAAGAGTTATAGTGTACTTCTATCATTGTCGCTGAAGAATGTCAACAAGAATCCATTATTTTAGAGTCGCCAACAGAACAAGAATGACACCAGGGACAACGGTCTAGGAAGGGAAATCCCCTTACTTTGGATATTTCCTTTAACTTCCTGGTTTGTCTCTGGGACAGGAAATGAAGATAAATTTCCCCAAAGGTATATACACAACAGAAAAAAACATACAAGGGTTTCAACTCTTCCTACTCTATCCAAAAACGTTTTGGCTGTGTATACTTTAAACTAATCCTTAACTGAAAGTTATTTCCCAATGGATTGTGCTTATCTTATCTAGCACTGAAACCATCAGCCCTGTACAGCACAGAATGCCAAGCTCTAGATGCTCTGGGATACTTGTCCTTACTTTTACTATTTCTACTACGCTTAGTGCCATATGCCCCTCCGCACCCAAAAAAATAAAATGTGTTGTAGTTACCTTCTTTCTGGTATTTACACTCCACACCAGACTGGCTGCATACACTGTAAAAGTAAAATTAAGATTAAAGTACAACTGTAGTCATGGACCATTAAATTCAAATTCTGAGCCAAATAGTAAGTCTATTTTATTTTCATTGGCAATTGTCAAAAAACATACATTAATTTGCCTCTCAGAGTATTCTGAAAGATGCTTTTATACTGACCCTCACAATTGTCAGGTCCATTAGATATTATCTGCTGGTCACAAGGGGTTACTGACACGATATATGATGAAAAGTATATAGATACTCCTCCAATTTACTGAGTTCAGGTTTTATAAGTACGGTTAATGCTACAGCATACAAAGATATTTTAGACAACTGTTCACTTTAAACCTTGTGCCAGTAGTTTGGAGGAGGTCCATTTTCTGTTACCTCAAGACTGAACTTTGCCCTTGTGAATAAAGCCAGCTGCATAAAGACATGGGGGTCTATTCACGAAGCAGCCGAAGAATCTAGCCGTAGCTTCGGCCGATCCTTCGGCTAGCTTCGGCCCCAGGACCCCTTCGGTTAAGTAGAACCAAAGGGCTGCTGTACGGGCTATTCACTATAGCCCGTACAGCTCCCGAAATTGGCCGGCCGGCTCAGTCGACCCGAAGGCATATGCCTCGGCTCATTTATTTTTTTCTATTCTGACACGGCTCCGTGTCAGAAAAAAAAAATTGTTTCTCTCCTTGGCGGCTAGGAGCGGGAGACTTCCGGAGCACCCATGAGAGTTTGCTGTCTGGAGATCCGTGTCCCTGGTTAGCCGGTAACCAGGGATGCTGATGTCTCTGCAAGTGGCCGGAGCCAAAAAAGAAAAAGCAGGGTTTCTCTCCTTGGCGGCCGGGAGCGGGAGACTCCCGGAGTGCCCGGGAGAGTTTTTCTTTTTTTTTGATGGCAGCAGAACCGCCGGCCAATATAAAAATGTTGGGCGGAGCTAGCTGTCATTGCTAGCTCTGCACAATCATTTTCTATTTATTTTTTTCTACTTTTTAAACTATTTTTCTGTTCTGCTCGGTACCACAAAGGGACCGAGCAGAACAGCCGAGCCGAATGCCGCTCAGCGGCATTCCGCTATTCCCTCACTGCTGTTCGGCATCTATAAGAATAGACCGAACTGCAGCAAGTAGCCTGCCGGAGGTTCGGCTTAGCCGATCCAGATGTGGGATCGGCTGAGTCGAACTTCTTCTGCACTTCGGGTCAGCCGAACATGCTGAGCACCAAAGCCACCCAATGTATGGCTGTTTTCAGCCGTTATACGGCTGAAATCAGCCGTACCAGCCTGAAATGAATAGCCGAACAGCGTTCGGCTCACTTCGCTTTAGGTTGGTCATTCACTCGGCAGCTTAGTGAATAGACCCCTAAGAGCCTACACAATAGCCCAGCAAAATGTTGCCAGACTATTTTGCAGCTGGGGAACAGGAGCCACAGAAATTCTGCAAGCTCTTAAGGGGCAGGCAGAAAGGTGGCTGATCCCATGATATCCTTTGCCAGGAAAAGTCACGTGTGATAACGGTTCACACATGTTCCTTGCCTGGCACACATCCTCAACTTGGTGGTGTGGCAGTTGCCAGTTCCTAGTTAGGTATTCTGGATATATTGAAGTCTCAAAACAGGCCAGAAGAGGTGGGTGTAAGCCTTCCAAAAAGCTTTTAGATCAGCTGTGACTGCAATTTCCACCATTCAAGTCTGGCCTATTCTGCACTTCGGGTCGGCCAAACATGCTGAGCATGTTCGGCCAACCCGAATCCACGTGAAGCCACCCGATGTCAGCCAATATACAGCTAAAATCAGCCGTACCAGCCTGAAGTGAATAGCCGAACAGCGTTTGGCTCACTTCGCTTTAGGTCGGCCATTTACTCGGCTGCCTACGGCAGCTTAGTGAATAGACCCCATGGTTTGTTGAGTTTGGTGTGACCAGAGAATCCTAACCTTAACCCTACTAAGCACTGGGATGAATTTGAACATTGATTGTGAGCCAGGTCACCTTGTTCAACATCAGTACCTGACCACACAAAAGCTTTTCTAGCTGAATGGACACACATTCCCATAAACACACTCCAAATTCTTGTGAAACCTTCCCAAAAAGTGGAGTCTACTACAGCTGCATGGTTTTGGAATGGGGTGTCCATTGAGCTCATATAGGTGTTTTAGTCCGCTATCCACAAACATTTTGCTATATTATGTATATACACATTGATCTTTGTCCAAGTGTACTTTTCTGCACCTATTAGCAGCATCAGGCTTTGCTATCTCTGATGCCCTTTACAGATTGCTTACCATGTCTGGCAGTTTTCACTAGAGGGTACAGTTTGCCCAACTCTGAAATGATTTCCTTCGTCATCATAGCAACCGCACTGAGCTACACAGTCCATTTCATCTTCATCAAAGAATGATTTAGCAGCTGGACAGCTAGGGTAACATCCTGATTGGTGTTAAAAAAAAATGTCAACAATACAAACATGCAAACATGAATACATTGTAGTAAGACATTCATCTGAGATATATGGGCCCCACTCTTTTTATCCATAAATGCAATTCCTTGTGTAAAAAAAAAAGAATAAAATGAGATATATTATGCATTGATCCTGATATAATTCTCCTGTGTTTTGTGAATTTCTGGAGTTCCATCATATGTAGTGATAGTCAGTGACACATATCAACCCCTCTCGTTCAAAGAAAATTGCTTGCTTAAGCTGAAATTTAATATTTTTTTACTTTTTGCAATTTGATATAACTCGTATTTTTTATATTTCAATACAAATTACTAGGGATGCACCAAAATTTCATCCGCAAATGGTACTTTGGTAAAAATCCTGGTAGTACCAAAATGGCCAAAAATGTGGCATAAAATTCCTGTTCATTGAGTGCTGGGAGTGCAGAAAAAGACTCTATGTCCTCAATCTCTTTTTCTATTTTAAAAGGGAAATATCAGGGGTTTGTTTAGACTCCTGATATTTCCTTGAAGCCCCTAGCAGTAGATTTAAAAAAATAATAATAATAACATAATGAAAAAATGAAAAAACGTTAGAAAAAAAAAAGTAAGTTTTGGTTTAATTTTCGGCCTGATATAAGTTTTATTTTTGGTTTCGGTTTAAAATTGTAATTTCGGGGAACCCCTAAAACTTACCCATATTCTAAGTCTGATAACAAGCATTAGAAAAAATTACCAAATTGAATATATCTAAAAGCTTGTGAAGTTCATTGTGTTAAATATTAAGACATAAAATAAAAGATGGTGGCAATAATAATAAGGATATTAATGGTGCTCTGGCCTTACCTTCCAAGCCTCCAAGCTCATGCAAACACTTTCCACTGGGGTTCCTGCAGGTCTTCAGGCAAGGAGCTCCACAGGGTTTGTAGTGCCACTCACACTCTCCTTCAGGGTTGTAATAGTCACAGAAGAGAGCTGAAAAAAGAAAGAACATTATTTAAGTACAATCTAATAACATCTAAACTAGTATTTATGCAGTTATTGTAGCATAAGAGGGATAGGAGACCTTAAATAACGAAATCATAACATGATACTCACGGCAGATGTTGGGTGTTCTCCAAGAAACACAGATTCCAGTTTCCCCACAGGCCTGGGCGTAAGCAGCAACAGCTGTACAGAAGCACTCACAGTCCCCACCAGAGTCACATGCACAAGCGTCAGTCACACAAGCATCATAGTACTTGGATGGATCAACCTGTAGAACATTAAGTATAGAATGTTTTTCTAACTATTATGCTTAGCTAACTTTAGAAACTTGTGTACACATACAAAGGCTTTTGTTTGCTTCACAAATGCTTCACTCCTCATACAAGTGATTGATACAGATAAGAAAGAGGTCAGAATCAGAAACTCTAAATGATCCAAGATACAGCTCAAACTTTATTGAAAGCTAAATGCACCTAAAAGTGCCACAAACACCAAAGCAGCTTTTAATGACATAATTCTTCTGAATAGAAGCAATATACCCAAAAGACAACCCCCTACATACCAAAAAAATATACCATAGTCATTTATCAGATATACAGTATGTTTAAAGGTTAATTCCACCTTGGAACAAACTCACAGTCTCCAGCTCCCCACCCTCAAAATGCCCCCTCTTGCCTGAATTATAGGTTTCTTTTCACTGGAGCATCTTGTTTTTATATTTAATTAGTTGAGGCTGTACATAACCATTATCTATTCACAGATCAATTCACACAGTGAATGGAAGATTACATGTACTATCTGCCACTGTGGCACTTGTAGACCTCAATGAAATGTGGTGACTTTACCACACTTGTACTTCCTCCAGCCCCATAACCTAAGGTCTGTACCTCTGTACGGACTCAGGGGTTGCATCACTGAAACTTCATGTTTCATGTTTCTTATAATTTTGTTTTATAATTTTGTTATATTTTAGCATCTGATTTGCTGTGCTTGAATAATGTACACCATCAGAAGTAAACCTATAACAATCTTCCTTTCTGTTAAAATGACAGTATTTCCTTCTTGCTCAGGAAATACGTTTAGCTACTGCTCCTTCCTAAGCTTGCCACAACTATTTTGTTAGGAAAAACTGCATTAAAAACAAAAGGGCCATTTCCCATCCCATATGCACTAGAGTAGAGGATATAAGGCCAGCACACCATATAATTAAAAAATCAATCCGCCTTAATAGCATAAACTAGGCATGTCACCTACATGCACTGATTGATCCTCCCAGTGCATTCCATTGACATCCATTTAACTTCCTTCTGCTCAGACACATTCCTAATGGTACACATCCACATGCTCATTTAAATTACTTCTTAAATAGGATTGCTTTATCAGTTGTCTAGTATTGTATTATTTTGAATGTTGGCTTCAATATGATGTCATTGTGACATCTTGGTAATGGGATTGCGTTGCTTTCCATTGGTGTGACATGTATATATGTTAGTGCTTTGTATTCACTTTGTGTCACTTTGTCTGATGAAGGTTCTGGAATGTTGCATTTATTTGTGACATGCCTAGTTAACATGGCTTTATTTTTGAACTACACAGTGTTTTGGAAATATTTCCTCAAGTGTACATGGTGGTGCCATCCACTTATTGCTGCAGCACCTTATCTCAGTGGGCCTTATCAGTGTGGTCTGGTGAGTGGTAAGGATACTGCATACATGTGACTAGTAACTAGGGCCTTCCAGGACACATGTAGAAATTAGCAGATGGACCCACAGAACACAGAGAGGACTCATCATCCAATGTAGGAATCTAGGAGTGTTGGATACCAGCTGCACCCAGAGCTGCTGAACAGAGTGACAACTGGAGTCACCACCCATTAAAGAAATATTCCTCTTCTTCCTTTACATGGGACATTTTTTTATCAACAGGAAAAGAATGAAAGTTTCATTCATATGAACTGTCACAGTAACTGTGCTTTATAGTAGCTCTCTCTACATAACTCATAACTTTCCTCATCTTGTGCGCTACATTCTTTACAATGTAGTAATCTTTGCCAATCTATATTGATTTATTTAAATGTGCTTCTAAATGTACTGTTACACAGTTTGCTGCAAATCTAATGCATATACTGTGATATGAAGAAATAACTCCAAGTTCTCCAACACCTGTGACCTGTTGAGGTTTAATATATTTTGTGGAGAAATCTGAAAAGAGAAAAACGTTATATAATTGTCCTCCTCACCTGAGCATGGCAGGCAGAGAAGACTGGACTGTTAAGGATGCTACATTGTTTCTGTGCCCAGGACTTCCTGTATGGGTTGGTAGAGCAGGAATCTTTAGGTACTTTGGCATCTTGACATGACTGAGCAATTTTCCAGCTGTTGCCAAACTCGGCAACATTGCCAACCACAGACTGGCTCCTTGTTGTAAAGTCGTTGTTTCCATTTCCATCATAATTACCACACAGACCACAAACGTTACCCTGTAATCAGAGGAAGCATCAATACTAAGTTCATCATAACATTGAATAAAGAATAAAGCTTCGAACTATGCATTTTTTGTATTATACTTTTTAACATAGTTTTAAAAATATGTATTAAGCCTAAAAATGAGCTAAAACTCAACTTGATTACAGAAATTAAATAAATCTTTAAAGCTGACATCCGGGCAGATATAAAGACCCAAATTATTGCAGCTCTGTATTCATGAATAATATAAATAAATTCATTTTTTTAATGGCAAGCAAAGTAAGTATTTGAATTTGACCTGTAAACATTACTGTACTGCAGCAGATAACATTTAGGTCTTCTGCCATGCCAGACAGGACTGCACTGTGTAGTAGAGCTGTGTAAATCTGAGGACTTCATGAACAGAAATACAAATCATTGGCAGGTAACAATGTTCCCATATACTGTATGTAGTTTATCTGGTTATTTTGTTGTTTTCCTGGAGGTTAGCTTCAATACGTATCAAAAATTGATGGACATTATCACTATTTACATCCACTATTGGTCATTTTTTTACTTAACAATTTTGTAATTTCATTGTAGAAATTTACATTTTACCTCAAAATCTTTGCTGAGCTTGATAAATATGCTTGTCTTTTTGTCCCACATCAGGATGAGTCCATTGTCAGCCTCAATGACAAGATAGATTCCCATGTGCCTGACTTTGTAGGGTACAACTCCTCCAATACCCCTTTCCACCACTTCAATGTGTTCCTCAGTCAGAACAAGTTCATAGTTCTGTGAATAGAAATATGGGAATGACAGAAAGTGAAGAGATTTGAAACAAGCAACTTCCTTACAACTAATTTTTGGCTATAGATAATTAATAAGGACAGTATTATAATAAATCTCTTACCTCCATGAAGACTTTAATACTCTTAGAGCATGTTGTTCCAGTAGTGCCACATGGGATGTTCTCAGTGATGACACGGAAAGTGCTGCCATTTGCAGCCTGGCCACAATGGTCCTGAAATGAAAGTGGACATAAAATATTACAACTGCCAATAAACCTATTAGTGTTAACATGCATAATATTTTTTTAAAAGTTAACCTATGGGCCAGGTAACCAACTGTGCTTCACTAACCTCTTTTGTTTTTTGGGGATCTCTGCTGATTTGTGCATTTTATTAAATCACATATTAGGCATCCTTGGCCAATGATAGAACTAATACTCAAAGTTTTTAAGCAATCAGCAGCTAAAAGGTGGGGCCTACTGTATATTACGTTGTTTGCTGGAGACTTTCCAATTACATGTTCTAGGAATGCCACATTTAGATGTAAAGGGTTGCTAATAAATTATATATTTTAAGTAATAAATACTACTACTAATAATAATGCTAGTAGTAATACTACTACTACTGCTGCTGCTACTACTACTAATAATAATAATAATATAAAAAATAATAATATAGATGTTTTGGCATTCACTTTACCTGGGCAAGTATGTATTCACAGTCTCCACTAAAGCTGTAGCGTTTGCCATCAAAGGTGATATAGTGTCCATCCCCATACACAGCACAGGTAGCCAAGCATGGGTTGTTGGTACACTGCCACATCCTATTCTTACAAGTGCTATACAGATAAAGAAAGAGAAAATCGATTTTTTTTTTCAGGCAGTTGAATATTGAATGTATTTTAATTGGTATACTAAGTAATTTATTTTTCGTACCAGGTGTTGCATTTCATTTTAATTTGTTCCCCTGGCTGATAAGTGGCATCATTGTGTACACATGGACAATCTTCTTCCCTAATGCAACCTCCTTTTCCATCTGCAACTAGACCATCAGGGCACACACAGCCAGAGACACATTTTGCACTATACTGTATAAAATAAATACCAAATGTCAAAATTAATATAAAGGAAAATCACAGTTTCAGGTAAATTCAGATTATTATTATTACTACTTTCTTTCCGTATTTCCTGGTGCAGGGATTAGAAGACTTACACAAGCCATATCCAAGGTCTGACAGCTTTTCTGGCACTCTGAACCTTTGGTGCCAACTGTGGCATTCTTGCAGTCAAAGTAGACCATTGGAGATTTGCAGGCTGGGAAGACAATGCAAAACTCATATATTGCCATATTATAAATATTATAATATATTGTTAGATAATTTGAATATACTGTATTACAGAATAGAAAATAAAATGGAAAATTAAATAGAAGTGCTATGCATGATTTGGGATTGGCCAAGAAATACAATACTTTTCCCTATAATTATCCCTTTTTATATTACACAATGCTATACAATAAACAATAAAGCAAGTATTCTACAAACTCCAAACAAAAGATATACAGAAGCATTCACACTATGTCTGGACCAAAAATGCAACTATGTCTGCAACTAAAATGCATCATATTGTATTCCTATGGTATTTCTGAACTCTGTTCACTCCAGTGCGGTCCATTCCAGTGCAGGGAAAAAAATGACTGCATGCAATATTTTTATCTGGTCTGGAACACACCAAAACATATGTAAGCACATTAAAAAAGAATGCATGCAAATGCACTGTAACACACTGGAGTGCACCTGAAAGCCCATTCGGGCTTAAAAAAAATGCACAAGAACACATAAAAAATGCACCGCACAGCATTTGCACAAATGTATCCCGATTTGGTCCAGCGTTGGTGTGACTGGGCCTTGACTTGGGAGAAAAAAAGGTCCCCGCTTGAACTAGCTCACAGTTTAAAAAGTTGGGGAACACTAGGTAGAATAAACAGGTGGCAGGTAATGGAAGTTGATTTCTCAGTAATTAATAACTAGATTAGAGAGGTCAATAGACAGGCAATTTTGGAGAAGTGTGTTTTGAGGGATTGTTAAAAATGTTTTAAAGTAGGGGCAAGACTACAAGTCTAAAGAAGGGAATTACAGAAAATGTAAAAGGTTACCTGGTTCAATATTTCCAATACAACTCAATTTTCCCTGGGCGCAAGTGCTGGAAATAAGAGTATAACAAAAATATTAGTGCAAATCAAATAGTGAATCATGTGATAGTGGTTATTCTCTGTCCCAGTAGGGGTGACTTACAGAAAATTTAAATGACTTCACACAAAGTTGTATGTACCAGCAGTGAACAAGTAGGGGCATTATCACATAGATTTTAAACTGTTAGTAGGTATCGTATGGTAGCAGATCATTATCATATAAAAATATGGCAACTGTTGTAAGGCAAATACATAATAGTAAACATAAAGATGTGATAATAATATTTTCCACTAATATGTTCTTCATTGTTCCTGCAAACTGAATATTATATAACATAGAACTTAATATCAATATCCACACTCACCACATAATGCCGTTATCATGGACAATTTCTCCGGAAGGCACAGGAGATCCCTTGTAGTAACATGGGCAGGCAGCGGCAGGGACACATTTGCCACTGTCATCCATGTAAAATCCTTGGGCACAGGTGCAGCCATCAACAGGTGTAAATTTGATACTGCAGGTGACATCAGGTTCACTGAGAGAACGACAGGTTGGTGGGCAGGTACTGATGGAGTAGGTGTAGTTCATTGATTTGGTACAAGTGTTCATGTACTTGGCTGTGTAGGAAAAAAAACATATCAGTATAATTTGTAATATTATTTAAAAGGAGAAGCATTAAAAGATGTGAAAAGAGCTCTAGAAGGTGGTGTAGCCACACAAAAAAATTATTCACAATGGCTTTAATTAACCTCTGTGTAGAATTAAGCTTTTTAGAAAAATTAGATTGAAGAAACACTTACTGCAAACATTGTCTCTCCATCCAGTCAGTATGATTCCTTTAGTGGCACAAGCCCGGACATAAGAAGAGAGGGAGGCACACATGCAGTCCTCACTTTTTTCACAATTACAGGTGTCAAACATGCAGTTCTGATAAGAAACAGAAAAATGTAAGTCAAACTATTATTAGAAAATTCCCAACAATTATTATTTTTTAAGGAAAGGGCTAAATTGCACACCTCTAGAGAGACAGAGGTTTATAAAAGTAATTGTGGGTGGAGCGGGATTGGACAACCTCAGTTTCATGATCTTGGACAAAATATTATAAGGGGTCTATTCACAAAGTTGCCGTAGCCAGCCGAGTGAATAACCGACCCGAAGTGAAGTGAGCCAAACGCTGTTCGGCTATTCACTTCAGGCTTGTACGCCTAAAATCAGCCGTACAACGGCTTGCTGCAGCTGGCTTCGGGTCGGCCAAACATGCTCAGCATGTACGGCCGACCGAAAGTGCAGAAAGAGTTCGACTCAGCCGATCCAACATCTGGATCAGCTGAGCCGAACCTCCGGCAGGCTACTCGCTGCTGTTCGGCATATTCTCAGAGATGCTGAACAGCAGTGAGGGAATAGGCTATTCTGCTCGGTACCTCTGTGGTACCGAGCAGAATAGAAAAACAGTTAAAAAAGTAGAGAAAATAAAATAGAAAACAATTAGGCGGAGATAGCAGTGACAGCTATCTCTGCCCAACTGTTTTCTATTGGCTGGGCGGTTCTGCTGCCGTCAGAATAAAAAAAAAACCACCATAGGAATGCATAGCTAGATTCCTATTGGCTATTTCACTTTGCAATAGCCAATAGCAAACTAACTATTGCACCTGCCCTCTGCTGCTGTCAATTACTAGAAGGGGACCTGATGGAGAACGTCAGGTCCCCTCTGCTGATTGACAGCTGCAGTGGGCGGGTGCAATAGCTAGTTTGCTATTGGCTATTGCAAATTGAAATAGCCAATAGGAATGTAGCTTTGCATTCCTATGCTGTTTTTTTCTATTATTATTCTGACGGCAGCCAATGGCTCCGATGTCAGAAGAAAAAAAAAAGACAACAGAGCAGGGAAAGGTTTACTCTGCTCGATCGAGCAGAGTACCACTTTCCGGGGGAAAGTGTTTCTCTCCCGGGCGGCCTAATAGCAGTAGACTCCCGGAGCGTCCGGGAGAGTTGGGCTGTCTGGAGATCAGCGTCCCTGGTTACCTGGTAACCTGGTAACCAGGGACGCTGATCTGTCTGTGCAAGTGGCCAGAGCCAGCCGCGAGATGACGGCTGGCTCAGCCCAGCAGTCAGTAGCAGGCTGTCTCAGTCGAGCCGAAGCATATGCCTTCGGCTTGACTGAGCCCCTCTGCCAACATCGGGAGCTGTACGGGCTATAGTGAATTGTCCGTACAGCAGCCCTTCGGTTCTACTGAACCAAAGGGGTCCTGGGGTCGAAGTTAGCCAAAGGATCAGCCGAAGCTACGGCTAGATCCTTTGGCAGCTTTGTGAATAGACCCCTCAGTGTATAATTAGCAAATTTCATACACCTGTTGCTTTTGCTCAGTGAAAGTTTTTGTGATAAAGGACCTTTGAAGAAACTCTGATATATGTCAAACTACATTGCTTAGTTACTGAGAAGGGTGGTATAGCATAACGCTTTATGCAGAATTTTTATATGTCTACTTCTATAATATAATACAATAACTAAATAAATACTTGTTATAGAAAATTCACATTACAATATAATGCAAATATTTTTTTCTATTCTTGCTTACTTCTTTGTAAACAACCGGATTAACAGTAGCATGGCAGGCAGCAAATGGTCCAGTTGGATCAGAAATAAGACCACACCAGTGTTGTGCATACTTCTCTGTAATGAAACGCATAGAGACAATTAGATATTTTTCTGTATTTGATGACTATGCAATTTCTCTAGCATATGGGCACTAATTCATTTTGGGAATGTGATGTGGAAAATATCACAGCTGAACTGAAATTTGAAATGTAGTTGTTTCAAGAGATATACGAAATAAGGTTGTTCTGCTTACTGTCTCTAGATGGAGCTTTGATGTTGCATCTGTATCTCAGCATTCAAAGTCTACCAGCATTACAAAATATTGTACTCGCTTCAAATACAGTTACCATTAAGAAAAAAAATCTTACCATTTTCCAAACTAAGTGAACAAGGGTCTTCATAAACGTTTTTAACATTTGAACAGGTTCCCTGGGTTTTCCAGGTGTTGGCAAATGAAGCTGCAGTGCCTTCAATTACACCACTGATTGTCTGGAAGTCATCTGACTGTTTGTCATTAAAGTTTCCACAGAGACCTAAAATGATTTGCCAATTAAAAACAGATCAGGCACATGCATTGGATCACCAAATATAAGAACCTCACAGATCTAAACTTACCGCATGTCAGGCCCTTATATGCTGGGTTCAGGGCAACATAGACCTGCATGAATGGAGTGAGCTGAGCCACTATCTGTACTCCAAGATTTGTGTGAACAATGATGTAGAATGAGGATGGTCTGAAGATGGTGACATTGGCTGCAAAATAAAATGTCACTGTTAGATAATAAAAAAAAAAATAAACAGATAATTAACTAGCTTCACAAATCTTTTACTAGCAAACAATATCCTCAATGTATCATACCTGCAGATACGGGCAGCTGACTATAGACGCTGTTGACAAATACACTGCCACATGGCTTGATCACAATAATCTGTTAGAATAAGGCAACAGAAGGTGAGCAATAAGAAATAATTTAGCAATAATAGAAGTAGACAAAAATCATATTAGGATATGCATGAAAATGAGAAGATAATTAGAGTCACTGAGAAATTATTTTAGTCCATTTGCATAAGGAAAATCTCTATTTGATCACATTAGAATTTCTTTAGACTTGCCTGTAGAATAGTTTGGGATGTTTGCTATGTATTTATATAAAAGGACACTTACAGTTTCGCCTCCATTAAGGATGATAGTTGTACTTTTTAGGCAAGTTTCACTTTCAGTCAAACCACATTGACGCATTTCCGCCAGTACAATGAAAGACTCTCCATCACATGCCTATAGAGATGGGAAAAGTTTAGGAATATCAATTAAAAATATATTAAAATGACCAGAATATTACATTCTTTTTAACATATACAGATCCACAAATGCTATCATGGTATACATGTATGATCAAGATAATTGACTAAAAAATGGTCAATATGGTAGCCATAATGAGTTGTGTCTTCCTTTCCTGGCTCATTATAAACAAAAAATACATAATATGAAAAATTAAAATTTTCTATAAATGTCTATTTTCCTGCTTCTCATCTAGTTGTAAATATCAGGTAGCTCTTGTATATCCATTAACATGTAAATGCTGATTTATAATGTACAGATTTATGTAATAGCTAAAGCATAGACTTGCCTTGGATAGAACATAGTTGCAGTCACCATGAATGCTGTAATGAGTTTGATCATAGGTGGTAATATGAGACCCTCCTTCAATGGAACAACTGGCTGGGCATGGTAGATTATTACATGACCATTTTCCTCCTGAGCACATGCTATTAAAACGAACAACCAATTAATCAAACATGCATTTAAGACAAAATACTTTAATTCTATGAATTGGAGCACTCAGAAATAGTGAACTCTAGAAAATTTAAAAAAAGAGCTATGTAGTAAATGAGAAGTGTAAATTATAATTCCAGAAATATACAAAAAAACCTACAAAAATAGTATTTGCCAGCTAACTTGTCTGCAAACAGATACTTAATCCAGAAATCCTTTTGAAAGCATGTTTGAAAGTAAATATTACATGCAGGAGTGTTTGCTTCCCGCAGTAGGGAAATTACTGCTAATCAAACACAAAGGTCAACACAGTACTCAACAAACTAAATCTCAGATACTTCTTTTAAAAACTTCTGTGCTATGTACTCATGTGCTATGTAGATCATTAT